TGTTTCAAAAGAGCATTAGAACTTTTTGTCAAAGGTAAGAATTTATGTTTTAATGTTGTATATGTAACTGAAATATAAGTTTCATTTTTGTAGAAATGTTCGTGTGTATACATGTATTGCAATTGTGCCTGGGATTTATGAATGTAACATAGTGAGAGAGTTCAGTTTTACACCGCTTTTAGCAATATTCCAGCAATATCATGGTGGGGGACATCAGGAATGGGCTTCACAATTGTACCCATGTCGGGAATCGAACCCGGGTCTTTGGCTGTGACGAGTGAACACTTTAATCACTAGGCTACCCCACCGCCCCAGATGTAACACAAGTAGACCGGGTGAATGCAGCAATTTCTGATAGGATTATATGAATGTACTCCAGGAAGCATTCTATGTAAAACCTGATGAAGCTAATCGATGACAGTCAATTGTAGCCTTGTAATGTGGATCCAATGGCTCCATCTTTAATTATTTCATCCCAACCTTCATCCTGCTCCAGCTAACTACGTCACGTGAAGTCATGCTGCATTTGTTTAACAGTGGCAGTCAGCACAGCTTTCTCATCAATAACGGAACATCAGACATGGCGATTGCATGACAATGGCTATTCTCTCCGAGGGGAATGTGCTTGCCGAGTTGATTAATTTGTTAGATGTGATATAAAACGGTGTCGGGATGTGTAGCGAGCTGTGAAATAACTAACAGTATTAGCCCACGGAGCATCCAAACGATGCCCAGTTCAAATACTGGAAAAGGCCTTTTGACGTCACTGGGCGCTTATTCATACACTATAATGGAGGGCATTTTTCTTAAGGAGAAATACATATGTGTTGAGTGTATATGAAGTGGAATTATTTCTTGTTTTTTTAATTCCCTCAGAAGTGCTAAAACTACATGGTTGATAGTTTGGGAATTTGGTAGATAATGCTATGATGTATTCAGTTCTTTGAAATGTCTTTGAAATTATTTTATACCATTTGGTTCAAAAGAATTATATTTGGTTTAGTACCATGCGGTCATGAAAAGTCAGATCAGTTAGGCACTAAATCACTTGCCTTGTTAAAAAATGGCAGCCAGATATGGTGTAGTGTTGTAAATTTTATCTTCTAAGGCTTGCTAGAAGCAAAACATGCAAGAACTTGTGTTTACATATCATAAACAGAAACACTTTGTGAAAATAAATGTGTATACAGCATTTGTTGTAACATTGGTCTAAAGCCATTAGCTATATTTGATTCCTGCAGTTTATGCAGCATTAAATCAGTACTTAAAGCTTAAAAAGGTTAATGTTTAACGGAAATCTATTCTAAATATACCTTTTGTGTAAAAATGTGCAATATTGTATGAATTTCTTGAAAACCAAACAACAAATAATGAATTTGTCTCTTCCTTATAAACAGGTTGGCTTTGGCCATGATAATGTTATATTATGTCAGGTTTATCAGGCTGATAAGGTGGCCTAGTGGTTAATGTGTCAGCTCATCATACCACTGGCCTGGGTTTGATGCTTGTGGGAAGTTGGTGTCCTATACTGATACACCTGGAATGTTGCCAGGCAACATGAAACCCATCCCACTTACACCTGTTTTAGGGTAGTATGCTGATTAACATTGATTACAATCTGCAATGATATAACTAGTCTGTCTCAAAGCCTGTGAACTGCATTATTTTCCTTTCCCACAAACCCTTCTGCAATGCAAAAGCCCTAAATGAAGCAAGTCTAGAATTCCAGAGGCACCTTTTCAGTTTAAAAGGAATTCTTTGTTTCTATCAAAATTATGTATATTCAGATACTTAGTGTTAGCGTGTATTTGAATATTGCTGACTGCAAACAATCATATTCGTTCAAACACACACTTTAGGATTAAATTTGAAATTATTTTCTTTTTAAAATTTATGACAATTTGATATAATCAACCAAGTCCATTATTTTAATCTTGTTTATAATAAAAGAAGAAAAGAGAGAATAAAATTATAATGGCTGGATTCCTAACCTTATGTGAAATTTAATATCTGGTATAGGAAACCAATATATTTTCCACAATGGCCTAAGATCTAGTATTAACATGACAGCTTGTTGAGGCAATAGGAGTCTTCCCTGTTGGCGGACATTATACGTCAACTGCTCATGTCACACATGGAAAGCCTTTGAGAACACATTTGATGAAAGGTTGATATATAGTATTGAAAAACATGATGGCTGAAAAAGATGTCTGTAGTTTTAGATAGGAGAGGTTCATACAAGGAAGTAGTGAGTATGGTTTTATGCCGCTTTGAGCAATGTTCCAGCAATACCATGGCGGAGGACACCAGAAATGGGCCTCACACATTGTACCCATGTGGGGAATCGAACCCAGGTCTTCAGCATGAGGAGTGGACGCTTAACCACTAGGCTACCCCACCACCCCTACAAGGAAGTAATGGATATGTGAAGTCAACAACATAGTTATCACATCTAGTTGCGTGGTACATTCCAGAATCTCAGGGGAAACCAGTCATGCAAGGTTAACATGGCCTGAACTGTTGAAGATGGTATACCAAAGGTCAGATATTTATACTGAAATGATATCTAGATGTTTGTGTACTATGTAAAATTCATAACCTCCTTACCCAAAGTGTACCATTTATTGAACACTGGGCGTGAGCGCTATATTCCTTAATGTACAGCAACTACTGTATCTTCTCAGAGAGATTGTTCTCTCAGTTCAGGGCTAAAGTCAAGAATTAACATATTGGATTCTGACAGACGTCCCACCTGTTACCTCAAAATATTCAAAAACAGATATGCACGTGATATCATTAATATATTATTTTGTAGTGCTGTTTTTGGTGAGGAATGTATTTAAGTTTCAGCAGCTATAAGTAAGAACAAGTTTTACCTGCTACTGAGCAACACACCTATTCCCCTCATTGTGTCGATGCACCTGGCATCATATGTACATTGTACAGAAACCATTGTATTTTTAAAAGAGTTTTTAATTTAATTTTTCTTCTTGATTCTGAAGACAAATTTACAGAAAAAATATAAACTCATACCCAGCGTCCCACCTGCTTCTTGTCAATATTTCCAAACAGACATGCATGTGGCTTCATGTTTATATTCCAGATGTGACCTGTGTAGTTTGTGTGAGAGATTTGTGTTTGGAAATTCACATTAAAGTATAGCTGAAATTCTTCTTCAGATCTTGCCAAAGTGAAGGCTCTCCTAGACATAGATCCTTCTCAGATTTCCTCTGTTCATGGCTCCTAATGCTGTTTAGATGGAACAAGATGCTAAATTATATGCATTCTCGTTTTATAGATTCAGATTCCTTGCCTGAGTATTCTTTTTTAAACATTTTTATTAATCACTCTTGCTCTTAAATTCACTTTGTGTTAGTGATTTTGGGCATTACATGAGGTTGCTGCAAATAAACCTCATCTTGAATTTTGATTCAAAGGCATTTTTTAAATGTTGACGTAAGAGTGGTGTTATTTTGGTCCTCAAAGTTGAAGTGGGGCTAAAAACAGGGATCTTTTATCAGGGAGAGAGACACTTGTGGCTGTTACCAAGCACTTGTCACAAAGCTAGAACGTTTTTTTAACAGTGCAATATATACTTACAGATCTGTGTATAAATCACTGTCTTGCTTCAAGTTACAACTCAATATTTGTATGGGAAGTTTGTTAGAAATAAAACATCATGTTGCTCATATCATAGTTGAATGTGATTTACAAACAGTCATGTTCATATTTGATGCCCATTATATAACATTGAAAAAGATTAATAGTAGAATAAAATTTGTATGATCAAAAATAAATATTTTTGGAATATTTGATAATATTTTAAAAAATTGCAATAAGGTGCAACTCAATATAGTCTCATGATTTTTTACACATCACATATTTGTGAACATAATTATGTGAAATGTATTTGCGTGACATAAATCGTAATAAAGGTGTTATTGCAGTTTCTGTATTTATATAAATATTAGAAAGTCGTAAATTCAGAACACTGCATTATATAAATGTGAAATATTGTGTTGTATGATTCACATTATGCATAAAAGAAAATATACTCATATATTTGATGGAGGCGAAACAAATGAGAAACGATCATTTAATGGGGATGTATGTGATACAAGTGATCGTAGTTTTGTTTCAGACATAATGTGTTCAGCGATTTGGTGATTTTCAACCAAGTAACATTTTGATAAAGTTTGTAAATTTTTGGTCAGTTCCAGTTTTTAGTGTGAACTATATTTTTATTGGCACTCCAGCTAGCACTTGTAGAGATTTGACCAACCAGTGTGAGTGAGTGAGTATGGTATCCTGGGTGCAATTGAGTGGGTTGGGTTTAATGCCGCTTTTAGCAATATTCCAGCAATATCATGGTTGGGGACACCAGAAATGGGCCTCACACATTGTGCCCATGTGGGGAATCAAACCCGGGTCTTCAGCAGGACAAGCCGACGCTTTAACCACTAGGCTACACCACCGCCCCTTGACCATCAAGAGTCTAAAGTTTCAATCATGAAATGTTAAAATAGGTGCAATTATTCATATTTGTGTGATTACTCTTAACTAAAAACAATTAGGAAAGTGACAGACACAACTACAAACACCTAACCTCATGTTACTAAATGTACTGTTTAAAATAATTTTCCGAACAGATAATTTACAAAACTTACTGACCTGAACAATATTAATCCAAAACATTTTTTTATTGATCTGTTTATACCCAAGCTGTCAGCAAACCATTCATTAATAATGTGTACCCTTATTGAAATGATACACCTTATCTGCTATTGATAAGGTAATACACTATATTTTGTGAGAAGGCTTTCAGACCTTGCAATACATTACCGAGCATGGAGGTAGTTCCCTCCTTGAGCAGCCTGATTACCATGCTGGGAGTTTGATTGACAGGGATATATATAGCAGCAGGCTGGTCTGCCTGGGCCAGACAAGGACGGTACTGAATGTGTTGGCTGCCGGATCACGGTATTCATTGATGATTTCAGGGAAGTATCGAGACACTTCATACGCTCTTGCCATCAACGTCGGCAAGCCTCAGCACGCAGCAGCATCGCAGTCATAGAGACCCAACAGCCTCATATGCAGCTACAGGTTTTACTGTCAGGTAGGTACCACTGTGTGCTGAGAGGGAGCATGTGCTTCATGAATGAAACTGGTTCTCAAGACTGTAGAAACCATGACTCGGTTCTGGCACCTATGGCTCAGGTGTTCTGGGATTTATGAGAATGGTTTCTTGTATGTTCTTGGATCTTTGTCAACAGAGCATGGTGATTTCTGTGAATTGTTATAGCTGTTTTCACACCTTGATGTTTAATTGTGCCAATGTTATATTATTCATGTTAAACATTTTAAGATAGTTCATTTTTCTTGGAATATGAAGTGTTCTATGGAAGTGTTGTGTTACATAAACATTATATTGGGTGAGAAAAGAAATGTTTCTTTCAGATTTGATAGTAGTGTGAGACAGTTAATGTATGATAACTGTGTGAAGTGAAACAGGGAAGATGGTGAGTGTTGTTAAAGTATACACAGATGTAGTGTTGTAGAGAATCTACACGGTGTTACGATGGATGAGCTGAGTGTGTATAGGCTACAGGCAACTTGTATGTGTTTGTGTGTGAGACGTAGCCTTGTTACTATCTACCAAAACCTGTTTAAACAATAAGGAAGGCAGGGCCCAGTTTGTATCCAAGATAGATTAGAGTTGTGGGCATGACAGGGATGATGTGTACATTATATGCTGGGCTGTGTTTGTTTTAAAAAATATAAGGGTGAGTGGGTGGGTGGTATTTATGCCTGATAAATGAGAATGGTAAGTGAGGTAAGGTGTCTTGGGGTTTAATTTCAGGATATTTCTCAAAAATATTGTCATGCAGTGTGCGCCTGTGTGTGTGTGTGTGTGTCTCTCTCTCTCTCTCTCTCTCTCTCTCTCTCTCTCTCTCTCTCTCTCTCTCTCTCTCTCTCTCTCTCTCTCTCTCTCTCTCTCTCTCTCTCTCTCTCTCTCTCTCTCTCTCTCTCTCTCTCTACTCCTGGCAGATGCTCTGTCACAGAGACCAATGAGAATGCTAACAAAACTAAATTATTCATTTGTTGGGGTGATGTGTTAATGATGGTTAACATGGTGGAGATTGTGAGAGAGGCAATACTGGTTGTGGTACATCTAAAGAGATGCACTCATCAGTAAGCTAGGGACAATTTAACTGTCACATGATGTATGAGGAGCAGAAAATGATGATGATGATATTCAGATGATGATGGTGGCTGTGGTGGTGGTGATGATGATGCCATTCAGATGATGATGATGGTGGTGGTGGTGACAATGATGATGATAATGTTGATGATGATGTTGATGATGATGATGATGATGCCCTTCAGGTACAGAAGATACAGTGTTTATTCTAATCTGCAGGACACAATGATAACGTGAAGACAAACATAAAATATCGATTCAATCAGACTTCCGAACAAACATCGAAATCAATCATCTTCAATGATTTCTTTGCATAATTACAGCTTCCCATTTATCAATGTTTCGCTATCAGCATCAGTTTCTGATGTTAATTTTGTAATGATTATATGTGAATCCATGCCACCTCCATTGGTGTTTGCACAATGGTTGTAGTTGGTCATTAAATACTCCTTGAAAGCAACTGTGAATGAACAGAATAGACCAAATCATGTCTACTTTACACCACATCATATATTGATGGGGAATCATTGATGTGTTCCTCACAAAACCCCAGGAAGTAAAAACAGCACTGCCCTTATTCTCATATAGATATGAATTATTAAACATGGATTCTATTTTGGGTTAAACATTCTCTTAATCTTTGCATTAATCAATATATTGATTTATAGTTCAGACGTCATCGTTTAATATTGATTCAGTATTGATTCATTAACAAAATTACTCATAAGGAGAATAGTTTTGTCCTGACTTGGATCTCTGGGGAGTACTTGTAGTCTAAATGAGAGACATTGTCTAAGTTATAATGCCTTGTAAGTGTCATTAATGACTGAAGGCTTAAAAATAAAGTTTATGAGTGAGCATTAATTGGACATTGTGATCATGGAATATTTTTGTCAATAACAAATTGACCATAACTTTGTGATGTAAGACCTGAAAATAATTCAATGGATACTATGGTGTTACATGATCATAAGACCTGTGAAGATCCGTGTTAGAATTGGCCTTCAGCAACCCATGCTTGTCGTAAGAGGCGAATTAACGGATCGGATGGTCTGGCTCGCTGACTTGACTGACACATGTCATCGTATCCTAATTGCATAGATCGATGCTCATGCTGTTATTGTCTGGCAGATGCAATTATTTACAGACCACTACCATATAGCTTGAACATTGCTGAGTGCAGCGTTAAACAACAACCAAACCACAGCAATCATGATAATAACCTTGCATTGAAGGAATTAATCATGAGAGAATTTTGTTGTATGTGCAGGAGATGTTATCGAACTAAATGGACTAACAAAGGTATAGGGACTTACCTACCTTAAAAATCACTAAATAAGACTTGAGTATGTATTTCTGTTGTTTTGTCTCAAAATCCAGGTGCCCAAATTTTAGAGAATATGATCTGATTCTTGATGATCTTAAAAGGGAGGTAATTATTCTTACTGTATGGGATATATTATGGGGGCTTTGTTCAGTGATAAGCTGATCGCAGACTGTGACCTTTTGCCATTTCAAATGGTTTAAGAGCAAAGATGCAGATATGCTGTTTTAAAATGAGTAAGTATGATTTGATGCCATTAGAACAATGTTTCCGTTATATGTCTCTCTGTGTCAGCTTGATTTGAGGAAAACCCAAAGTCATGGTTTGTGCAAAACACAACAAGACAAGGTAGAACATGACAAGAAACCTTTATTTACATACAAATGTTTGGCACAATATGGGAGCTGCCTTGTTTGCCTACTGTGTAACCCTGGGGTCGTGGTGACCTGGGTAGAGAGAGGCCCTGGGGTCGTGTTGACCCAGGCCAGAAGATTGAAATGTCCTTGGGTCTTAGGGACCCGGACTTGTGTACGTGAGAAGGATATACCGGTCCTGGGGTCCGATGACCTGGACGATCCCTGCTTAAGTAATGCTCTTTGGGGGCCACAAGCCTTCCATGCTCTGAGTATGGAGTAGCTTGTGACGCTGAAGCAGGCCCAGTAGTAGTAAAATGTGTATATATACACGAATACATGATATATGACCCGATCGCCAACGTGCAGTACTATCTAAGATAATGAATACATGACATGATAATGCAGGCAGAGCCAAGGGGTGGCTGGTGGGTAGATGATACAGTTCAGTGGCTTGAAACAATGGAGAAAATGAACCTGTGCGCAACTGATGGGTTAATAAAGGTAAACAATGTGACGTCATGTCCACCTTACTGGACATGCGCAGGACATGCGCAGACTGTTAGGAAGTGCAACTGTGGAAAGAGTTGTAACATGATCCAGACAGAAAAGAGGATGAGTATGTTCACTAGTGGATGTGGGATTGCGTTGATTAAACACGATACCAGGGTGACTGCACTGGAATTGACAATAAAGAATGCATGAGTAAGTGCTGTTGTCTTTGCACAAACTAAAATATTAAATTACCATATGTTTACAGTATAGTCCAAATTCATCAAGATTGGTATGGGGTGGAGAGACCTAGAAACAGGATTAGGGTAATCTGGGATTGGGACCTTATGATCAGATGTTCCTGGTGTATTCAGGGGACGTAAACAAGTGAATTGCAGTGCCTTAGGTAATAACGCGATGCCTTAACCATTTTCCAAGGGTTCCGGCTTAGAAAGCTCCCCCAGCAGCTTGTGCGAGAAGACAGCATTTTCATTGGTTCTGTGTTATGGCAAGTAACACAGGGACATACTTTGTATCAAGGGACATAACTCTGTAACTGTTTTCACGTCAACAATTCAATGTCAACAAAGTATGTGTATTTTTGCCTTTCATGGATCAGGTAGTCAGACTTGGTGACATTTTGATTTCTCATCCACATCGACTGTTGCTCACAATATTGATCACTCCATTTAAATTGAAAAGGAGACCTTGTGAGCTGGGAGACTCAGTACCTGAACCTGATGAAAATCAGGAATTCATTTAGGACTTTTGCATTACAGTAAGGGCTGGGTGGAAAGGAAAATTTAATATTATGGCTCAGCAGTCTAATTAAACTTAGGCTCAGTATTATTCGTTTTGTACACTGCTATACTGAGTCTAAAAAACTAGTAGAAGGTCCATCAGCTAACCTTTTGGCCTGACCAATCAGAACACAGCTTACCAAATCGCGAAAGTTAAAATTCGGACATACCGTTTGAACCTTTACCTCAAAAAGTCGAACGATTCTGAATGCTATTTTCCGCACGATCGCTTTCGAGTGATATACGCAATGAGTAAACAGTCGCTGAAAATAACGTTTTTGTCAGTATTCAAGGATGTCATCTTGCAAAAATATAAGCAAATAGTAATTATGTCATTAGAAAGCCATAAGCGTATATACTGCAGGTCAAATATCTGTGTTTTATGCAGATTTTCGTTTGTTGATAGATCAGTTTCAGCGACCAGGGGGTCAAAAAACATTTTGTAAGTCCTGCCGAACCCTAACAAGTAGTCTTTGTCTGATTGGTTAAATCCGTTCGGCCGTCTCGCGTTTGATTGGACGGTCATAGGTTGCTCAATGGTTAGCTGACGCGACCTTCTACTAGGGTTTGTTAGACTCAGTATAGCAGTGTAACGAATAATACTGAGCCTAAGTTTACTTAGACTGATAGCTCAGGGACTGTGAGACAGACTACCTTCCTTGGAATCAAATCTTGGTCAACAGATTAATGAGTGAGTGAGTGAGTTTAGTTTTATTCCAGCAATATCACGGAGGGGGACACCACAAGCAGATTAACGAGTGAAATGTTTTTACCCCTGGGCATATGATCTGAATTTGTCCTCACTGACTCAGGCCACCATGCCATTAACCCTATGATGTAACCATATCTGATACATGGCTTTGAGACAAAATGGATCACTTCAAGGGGAGATAACTATCACCCTGACCTTTTTGCCTTCCACTATGTTAGATATTTTGGTGGGAT